TTAAAATGAGATGTTTATCCTGTATTTGATTGTGTTTATCTGCAGTTAGTTACACGAATTCAGTTATGGGATGAAATCGGATAGGGATGAAATTGTTTAGGGATGAACGAGTTTAAGAGTTTTAAGAGTTTAAGAGTTTTTAAGAGTTTTAGCCAAATGTTTTATAATATAGTATAGATATGTGACATCACATTTAAGAAGTAAAATAAGCAAAGTACCCTCACGTGATAGTTTGATGAGTACTTAATAGGTGATACTTAATATCCATAAGGAGAAACAAAAATCAAAACAAAAATCAAAACAAAATAATAAATAATATAAAGTTTGAAATAATATCATGTTCTTTTAATGGAATAAAAACATACTAATTTTCCTTATCAATAAAAAATAAGGTTTCCAAAATAAAACTATTAAATGTAAATTTTATGTATTGTAGAGTAAATTACATTTTTAGTTCTTATAGTTTGTCAAAAATTGCAATTTTCGTTTCTGTGGTTTAGAAATTGTGATTTTTGTTCCTATGGTTTGTAATTTATTGTTATTTTCATTCATAAATTAATTTTTACTTTTTTTAAGTATAAATAACCAAAATAGTAAAGAATTATAAATCAGAAGTACTGAAACAACAATAAATAATAAATTGTAATGATGAAAATAACAATGATTTACATATTATGTAGATTAAAAGCACAATATCTAAACTATAAAGACTAAAATTGTAATTTGTAACAAGTCATAGGAACCAAGAAGGTAATTTACACCTTTTATGTAATATAATTTATTCCTTTTCGGATAAATAACTTTAAAAATCATAACCATACAAAAAAGCATTAGTTGTATGTAAGCCGATCGCAGTAATTTGCGAATTATTTTTAGGGGGCACGTCACCATTAAAACACAGACACACACACACACACACATATATATATATATATATATATATATATAAGGGTTCAAACGAGAATACTTTCATTTAATGAGAACACCCTTTTACTATAGATAATCACATGTGATACTATTAATCCATCACATATGATACACATGTGATACTACATCAGATACGTGAACGATTTTCGATGCGATCTTGGTTGCGGGTCAAATCGCCCTTATACTACTAAGCTCCCTCACAAGTATTATCACATGTGATAAGATTATTGTCGCTATGATACTATAATCAATCAATACCATCACATGTGATGCTAAATCATAGACACAGACAACCTTTGGCGCGACCTAAGTCGTAGAACATGTCGTCCGCACATCACAGGGTCCCCTCATACGTATTATCACATGTGATAAGGGTGTTTTCGTATTCTTGTAAAGCAGAGGTGTTCTTGTTTGAACCTCCATCTATATGTATACATG